CGTCAATCGCTCCTTCAACTCCCGAGAGTGCTTCAAGTGGGAACGCCTGGCTCCTTAGCCCAAGTGACCTCCTACATGATTTCTAGAGACGCTGTTGTTCAAATGCTATGCGATCGTTGAAATTGGGAATAGATGGCTATGGAACACATGGAGCTGAATATGGGTTTGAAGATGCTCTTCCCATTTTATCCCAGTTTTCGCTCATCTCTACTTGAAGGCCTATTCTGGGTTTATTTACGGGATCTTTTCATGTTTCCTCTATCGGAAAAGGTTATATGGGCAGCAATGGACAACCTTGTACTAGTTTCGCATCAGAAACTTTCAAAGTAGGGGCGTTAAGGCGCAGAGTCGTTCAAGTGACTCCGGCCGCGTTGGTATCTGTCGTTTCGCTCTTTAGATGCCTATTTTATGCAAACGTAGTGAACCTTAGTATGAGAATAATTTGTGTTTGCAGGCAGGAAACAAAAAAAGGGGCGGTCAGTAAAAAAAGGATGAAGGGTAAAGTCTTCGCCGTTGATCAATCCCTTTGTGGGATGCGGCACGCATTCTACTTCCATTCAGAATCGTAGTGGCTTATTGAATGCGATGTGGCCTATACAATGACTTGCGGTGGCCAGCCGATGTACAAGTCAGTGTTTTATCCTCCCAGACGAATCTGGTACCAATTCACCGTCCCCGGAGGGTAGAAGGCTTGGTTGGCCTGGGCGGGAGTCGACCCGGGATTCGAACCCAGGACCGCGCGAGTGGTAAGCGTACCGCTTTTCACTACACCCTACACCTCGGGGCAGGGCACGCCATCGCGTTGTGATCATTTTCTGAAAATTACGACCCCCTAATTCCATACTAAAATACGACCCCCTTTTTGGGAGTTGGTACGACCCCCCTCCCAGCCCTCTGTCCTTCCTCATCGAACCGAGCCGTCGAGCAACATATTCCCGACCCCCGCCCCCTCCCAAACAATGAAAAAAGTTACGACACCCCTCCTTTAACAGCGTCCATAAGAAACCAAGAAGAAAATCAACTATCAGGGAAAAATCATTTTCCTGACGCAAATAGCATCGCCCCCTCCTCGCCGGCTCAAGTACGGCCCCCGCCCCCCTTGTGATGATCACCATCCCGCCCCACGATGGAGTACCCTGCCCTCGAAGGCATTAGGAAGCGCCTCTAAAGAATAATAGTCCCTTCAGCTGCAAGCCGTTCATGAGTTCAACGTCCTGAGTCCCGTTTTGAATTTCTTGCGTTCTCCTACTTTTTTGATTCTACCCTGCCATCGATCTGCAATAAATAGAAACCAAATGTGGGGAGAGAGCGGAAGATTTTGATCAGAACTAAATACCACAAGTTCATCGGTTTTCTCTGATAGGCGCAATTTGTCCCTTCCCAATTAGCTCGCTCGCGCCTGCTCCCGCTCCACCTTCAAGGCCCTCAACTTACGCATCTTTATTGCTGACTAACAAGCGTCTTCTCTTTGCCTTCTGATCGTACCCATCTGGGTCACATTGTTTCCAGAAGTGCTTCTTTTGCAATTAACAGTACATTGCCGCGCACCTGGGCGTTTTATCTAAATCAATGAATTTGTCACATCTTCTAGACGGAAACGATAGTTGAACAACAGAGCAGAATTGCTGAAAGTGTCATTTCCAAACCTATCTATATCAATGGGTACAAATGCCTTTTAATGTTTATAATTTTTGTATTTTTATTGAATGAATTTCCCTTGATTTTCATGCTTTTCTTTCTGGTGTATGAAGAGACCCTTGTGGATGGCGCTCCATCGTCTTGAACATCGCCAATGCTCTTTTCCCTTTGTGCGCGTGTTTTTTGTAGCATCCATTGTATTGAGTAGAAACTGTTCACGCGCGCGTTGTCGCGTGCGTCTCGCCCACCTTGCGAAAAGCTGAGCCTTATACACCGGAAAATAAGAAGTTTTGCTCAGGCCTTCCTTTTAGTACTGATGTAGCAGGTGTTGCAAAGGGAATCATGGTGTGATATGGAAGTAGGGGAGAGTCGATAGAATTGAGACGAGAAATATGCGGCCTAAACGGTAATATGCATACGGGGGCAGCTGTACTGTTCTAGACTATTTGGAGAGTTATCAAAAATGATTCACATGATTGGTGCTGTGTCGAATATTTGATTTGGCGTATTAAAGAATCAGATGTACGAATTTATTGATTCCCATTTTCAGATATGTGGATGGGATGACGGAGGCGTTGAGTCTCGCTGGAATGAGAGTGATGTGCGAAGGGAAAGATCAGCCGGAATTCGTGTAAGTGGTTCCGTATTACTGTCGTTCCATTCCTATCTCCCCTTGTTTCTCCTTCTTATGCATATTTTCTCTCGATTTTCTTGTCGTTTTTCTACAGTCTTGTTCGCATTATAGATCGTGCCAGTGTTGGGTTTGGCGCGCCGCCACGTTGAGCTCCACCAGTTGTTGAGCGAGTATGATCAACGATTAGTGGAAAACAACTGATACGAACAATATAATACAGTATTGTCGCTTGATCGCTTCAACAACTGGGGAGGGGGGGTAATGTGTAAGCGCGACGCTACAGCTAACTCGCCTCATCATCCGTAGCAGACAAGGCTCCCTTTATTTCTTTCGATGTCATTTCCTGCCTTTTTCTTTTTCCATATTTTCTTTATTCCATTCACTCTCGCCCCTTTCCACTGTTCACTTGAATACCCTTTCTCTTTCTTTTATTTTTCGAGCAAGATTTTCCTTCCTTATGTCTGTTATTCCCTGTTCAGGGTACAGCACCGTGATGTGTAAGGTGGTGGTGTAGGTACGACCCCCCCCTTCCGAGAGAGGGTGTCAGTACGACCCCCACCTAAATGAGGGTCTCGGTACGACTACCCCCCCCCCTTCCCGACACCTACCCACCAACTTCCTCATTTTCCAGTCCAGTACTTCACCCAAAAATTTTCCGTCTAGCGGGTAGTGGAGGGGTGTGTATAGCCATTGTGAAACGGGAGAATTTCTCCAACTTCCTACCACTTTCCGACTTTCCCGTTTTCGAAGAATTCTCGAAGAAGAATCGAAGAATTCCGAAATTTTACTGTCGAGCCGGGGGAGGGAGTATGTAGTGCACATGAAACAGGAAAAATCACGCAAAAAGTCAACAACCGGAAAACCAACGCGACAAATTTCTCTCAAAGGGCACATACGACCCCCTCCCTCTCCCAGCGACCAAATGCCCAAATACGACCCCCTTCCACAAGGAAGAAGTACGACCCCCCCCCATGTGTTTCACACAACAATGCCGTACCGTGTTCTGACAATGACTCTATTCATTCCTTCTTTACTTCAGATCGTGTTCATTGAACCGATCATCGTTTTTGTCATCCAATCCAGTTGTGTC